GATCCAATGGTAATAACCAAGGTTCAGGAAACGGATCCAATGGTAATAACCAAGGTTCAGGAAACGGATCCAATGGTAATAACCAAGGTTCAGGAAACGGATCCAATGGTAATAACCAAGGTTCAGGAAACGGATCCAATGGTGATAACCAAGGTTCAGGAAACGGATCCAATAGTGTAAATAAGAAACGTGGTGGTGAAGGACAAGGACAAAGCCAAGGTGATAACCGAAGTTCAGGAAACGGATCCAATGGCAATGGTAATAACCAAGGTTCAGGAAACGGATCAAATGGCAACGGTAATAACCAAGGTTCAGGAAACGGATCCAATGGCAGTGGTGTAAATAAGAAGCGCGGCGGTGAAGGTCAAGGCCAAAGCCAAGGTGATAACCAAAGTTCAGGAAACGGATCCAATGGCAATGGTAATAACCAAGGTTCAGGAAACGGGTCAAATGGCAATGGTAATAACCAAGGTTCAGGAAACGGATCCAATGGCAGTGGTGTAAATAAGAAACGCGGCGGTGAAAGTCAAGGACAAAGCCAAGGTGATAACCAAGGTTCAGGAAACGGATCCAATGGCAAGGGTAATAACCAAGGTTCAGGAAACGGATCAAATGGCAATGGTAATAACCAAGGTTCAGGAAACGGATCCAATGGCAGTGGTGTAAATAAGAAACGCGGCAGTGAAAGTCAAGGACAAAGCCAAGGTGATAACCAAAGTTCAGGAAACGGATCCAATGGCAAGGGTAATAACCAAGGTTCAGGAAACGAATCCAATGGCAACGGTAATAACCAAAGTTCAGGAAACGGATCCAACGGCAATGGTGTAAATAAGAAACGCAGCGGTGAAAGTCAAGGCCAAAGCCAAGGTGATAATCAAGGTTCAGGAAACGGATCAAATGGCAATGGTGATAAACAACGTTCAGGAAACGGATCCAATGGCAATGGTAATAATCAAGGTTCAGGAAACGGATCCAATGGCAATGGTGTAAATAAGAAACGCGGCGGTGAAAGTCAAGGACAAAGCCAAGGCGATAACCAAGGTTCAGGAAACAGATCCAATGGCAATGGCAATAACCAAGGTTCAGGAAACGGATCCAATGAATAAGAAATGAGGTGGTGAAGGTGGAGGCCAAAGCACAGGAACCGGATCAAATGGTGTGAAAAATTATATAAAAATTATATAATTAATAATAATAGATAGAATTTAGACTTTTGTACTATCAGTAGTAGTGTTAGCTTACATTTTTAGTTATCACTAATAGATTAATAAAACTTGTATAAATTTTAAAATTTATATCGTCACAATATCATTTTCATAAAATTAAATAAACTGGCTATTTATAAAAAATCAATTCCCGGATTTCTCTCTTATCAATTTTTTTTTTTACAGTACGGGACAGCTAAAGATATCCACTTTATATATATAAAATATAAAAATGCTTATATAACTCAGGAACAAATAACTTTAAAAAATCTGTCTTACAAATTTGTTGATTTTAGTAAAACTACAATTCTGTTAGAATTGATTTTTTATTTTTATCATATCAGCAGATTTACGGAGTTAGTCTTAAATTGAATCTTAAGTTATCCGCAAAATGAACCCAAAGTTTTGTAGCAAACAAAATATATGTACTGTACATATGAGTGCTGCCAAGGAAAAAAGGCCGATCGGACTTTTGATATATTTTGTGTACATTTAGCCGCCTATTGAAAATTTATCACCATAATAAATTTTTCATAGACGGTTAACTGTACACAAAATATATTGAAAGTCCGATCGGCCTTTTTACCTTGGCAGCATTCATATAAAGTTAATTTAAGGGATAAATAGATACAATAGCGGCGTTATTGTATCAACATACCCCTTAAATTATATGTACGTACGTATGTTTATTTGCTTGCTACAAAATTTTGGGTTCATTTAGTGGATAATTTTGAAGATACAATTTCGCAAATCCGCCGATATGTTATAAAATTAAAGAGCTTTTAGAGATAAAGTTTATATGTAATCAAAATTTGGCATTTAATATATAAAAAAGCGGTTGTATATATTTTTAACCAACCAGAATTTATTGCACAAAAGTTAGCCAACAATATTTGATTATATAATCCCAAAATTAGCGCTTTTAAAAAAAAAAATCGGGATCTTTAGCTGCGTATGATATTGCAACTTTTGTTAGGTTTACTATTTTCGGAATCCTTCGTCACTTTCATTCGAAATTTTAATTAATGAAAACGAAAAACTAACTTCGCGTCTCATTGCCCATCAGGTTTCGCCTAACAACTGCAAATCGTCATGTATACTGTATTTTAGTTTCAGATACAAAATGATGACATTACCTAGTTCATATAAATGGTTGATGGAATCACTAAATTTAATTTGTGCCTCTTATTTATTTGTTATTTTTTTTATTTACCTGACGAGTTATTAAGATATTATTATTATAGTTGTTTTGACTTATTGATGATCTATTCTTGTTAGAGAGATTTAATGAATATGCATCAAACTCATTAGATTATCGTTTAGCTCATTAGCCCGAGCCTACTAGACTTCCATTAGACATTTATATTGTTACGAGTAAAGTTAAAAATACCTCAAAAAATAATACAGTCAGAACTCTATAAATGCACTGCCGTCGGGACCATAGGAAAAAAAATCGAATAGTACATTTAGAGTGTGTGCATTTATGTGCCGTGAATTTAGAGAGTTTTTACTTAGTCCGTGCTAGGGATGGGTTCGGTCGACTACGATCGGTTATCACTCTTAGCCGGTTAGCCGATCGGCTAAAGCGACTATAGCCGATCAATTATTTAATCAATTATTTAATAGTAATCAATATAAATATGCTCTAAGAGTATATAAATGCACCCTAAGAGTATATAAATTTACATACGGGCTGATTGGATATCATAAGGGGGTCTTTGCCTTGAAAATGACCTTACGGGACTATGCAGATTTTATGAATAAAATTAAAATTTCCAGTAATCCAAATTCAAATAATTTTTTTTTATTTTATAGAGAGCTTCTTAGCAGAAACCTTTGAATTTTACCATTTATGATTATCATATGAAAGTTATATAACTATTATATGATAAAAATATG